AGCACATTGTGTAGCTTTGTGCTTAATTACAAACAAACAAAACTGAATCCAAATCAGCAATGTCAAATGTTCTCTTTTATTCGTTTATTTATTCTTAGTCGAATCTAAAAAAACAAAAAAATGATAGACTAGAATGAAGGCAGCTAACCAACAGCCCACTCTTGGGCGACTATTGTCTAACCGAGTAGTGTGAGTTGACCGTCACCCTTATAAAGCTTCCATAGCTCCAAAGTGCGGAGCGTGATTTTATTTTAGCAGTAACAGAAAGTCAACTTTGTACCCGCAGATCCATAGGCCAGTTCGTTAACACCTGGACAACATCGGTCGTAGTATGAAGCCATCAATCTTAGATGTGTAATGCAGAGTCGAAAAAATGTCAGGTTTTGTATTTTTTAAATACAAGCTAATCAAAAACTTACATGACAAATATTTGAAACGTCTCCAGCTTTAGTTCTTCTTTCACTTCACAGCGTTTCACCTGGCTGGACATATACATCCAGGAAGACACTACCAAAGAGTTACCAGACAGCTAATTAGGTTACATAAAATGATAAAGCTCTAGCACTTCATGAAAACTTAAAAAGAAAAAAGTAAAGAATCATACATTTTTATAAAGGTTTGGGGAATATTTTTTTTTAATCACTTTGCAAGTACACTTTAATCATAGATGCTCTAATACTTATTCATATAAATATCATAAATCATGACAGAAATTCAGTAAAGAGACCATTTTCACATATGTCTTGAATTTATGGCTTAAAACAAAAACATTCATCAAATGAAAGTGGAACACTAATTTACGACGGTCTCTGAAGTTACATAAAATTTACAGGCACGTCATACTAGTATAAGTGTCACCAATAGAATAAATTATTGGTAGGTCTCATAAAATATTATTTAACTCGTGCACCCATAAATCATTGTATTGTTTTGGTTGATTAACTGATTATCATAAATAATGATCTGGGTGATTTTTATATAAATCTAGGTGTGATGAAATACACACACAATGTACAGATTTCCTAATAAATCTATATATATATATATATAAAAGAGGAAGTTTGTTTATTTTGTTCGCTATAGGAAACCAAACGGTTGAACTTACGAATTTCAAAATAACTTCATAATAACCAGTTTTTTTACAAGAAATTTAATGGTGCTACTTATTTTATATTTGGTTTAGTATTTAATGACGAAATTGACAATTACTGATTATTGTGCCATTTTTTGTAACACAGTTTTTTGAAATAAACATACAAAGCACGTTTTGCAGATAGAAAGCGCTATGGCGGGAGACACTCAGATCACCTTGCTGTTAATTCAGTATTTCCAAAAACAGTTTTCTTTAAATAGTGCTAAGTGGTTTCATAAGTGATTTAGTAACTTTGTGAATTGCAAATTATTGTGTAGTGATACAGGTGATTATGCCACCCAAGAAACGCTCTTACTATGGAAAGTCTTCTGCCGCTAAAATAATGCAAACACAAAGAGCAGCTGAAACAGAAGAACGCAATCAAATACTTCAAGCACAAGCTGCAAGACAGGCTGCTCAAATACAGGAAGAGACTTTGGAACAACGT